GGCGGATCCCGGAAGGGTTATGGTGGTTTAGACCACTACTTGAGGAATTGAATGTTCTACGGTTATGAGAAGTTACTCGCGTGTTGCTATGGTTCTCTTGGAATAAGTTAAGAAAGAAACTTCTATGTAATGAAGTGTTTACCCTAATAGTAGTTCAGGAGTTATGATGAAATTCTTATACTGTCGCATATTGGCATGTTAGGTGCAGTGAGCGCTATGGAAATTGAAAACGAAGAACCAAGGTTGCGGTTTGGTGTTGCCAAGGGTGTCACGTGCTCGGATGAGCTTGGAAGGAATTTGAATGTTTAGAGTAAGCTGGTATTATCTTCAGCATCACCGAAGATCGGTGTTTTGTGAAAGAGGCTTTGCATCCTGGTTATGGATTCTTGATCTGCTGTGCAGCGTTAGTCTGATCGGCGGTAGGAGTGTGCAAATTTGTTACCTAATGCGGAAAGTCGTGGGAGAGTATTCCATGAGGAGATTGTATAAGTGTGACATGTAGTCACCAGGTTGATTGAAGATTCAAACCAAGTATGAAGATTATGGTAATATCGCTAATTTGAGAATTTATGCCTGAAGGGCACTCGGTTTATTGGGTTGTGGACTGTGGAGGTTTACTCCGGTTATGATGGTTGTTCTTGTGAGTTATTGGAAAAAGGGATACTCATGGACCCTTAAAAGGTTATTTGCCTAGTATGGTGCGATCAGAATCGGCTTGAGGTCTTTGGATGGATCTAATATGAAGGTGGGCTCTATCGGGCCGGATGTGTTCATTTCAGCATAGCGCTCCTTACGAAGGAGTATTCGGATGTTGGATGCTATTACGTCGTCGACTACTTCATGTGATGTTATTTTATGCCGTATGGGTCGAGAAACGACTTGATAAATTTCTTATGTGTTGAGGTTCCGTGTTGCGATGGTGTTATGTAAGCGGGATGGCTCTTCAGATTCAGATCATATATCGCACCTCAGTTGTGCTTGAGTTTTGTAGCTTATGGCGCTATATGTCTCCCCACGGATGGTATTATGCACCTAGCGTGCTTGCAATCGATATTCGGTATTTAGTAATAATGAGAGATTTAGCTCGGTGTGTATCTCCTTATGTGAGTTGTATGTTGTTCGTATCGGGTTGCACGCCGCAACAGTGTGATGTTGAGTTCAGTCCCCTGTATTCTAATTTTTGTGTGTTTTGCTTCCCATTTTCTGAGGAAGGTCCATATTAGTTGCGTGGGTTGAGTAGTCCCTTCCAGAGATCGCTTCCCTTATGTATCACGTTCGAGTTTGTAGCCCATTGGCACATTGTGGCATCATATGAGACTTTGGTTATGTCTGGGGTGGCTTATTGCCTGAGCAGTTCGTACGGGGTGAGACGAGATTGTTGGATCTAGGATCAGTGCAATCGGATTATATGAAGCATATTAAGGAGCAAATACCATTATTTGGTTCAGAATGAGGTAATGATTCTTGTCAGGAGTATAGACTCAACGATCTGTTGACTCGGCAGTTCGTTATGAATTTCTACACATCTCTTCTGTCGTGGCGGTATTGCAAAAGTTGGGGCAAGACTTATATAAGTCATGAGGTGCATTGGGAGCCTCATTCGTGGAATTTTGGCTATCGTTATCAGAGGATGATATTATGGTCATGTGAGTTATGCAGTGCATAGTGTGGATTCAGCAAAGGTATGCAATCATGTATCGGTGCATCGTGTGGTGATTGATACGGTGTTCATAGGATGGAAGCAGGCCTGGCAGGGAATTCCGGATGTTGGAATTGGGCTCTAAGCTTATTTGCTTGAGTAAAGGATAATATCTTCAGATTTGATCGAGCTGATGTGCTCAACTGAGTTGTGGTAGCACAGGTAGGTGCGCGAGGTGTTAAACAGTGATTTTGGACAACTCCAGTGCAGTTCTCAGCACGTTCGAGGACGAACGTATGTTTAAGTGGGAAAGAATGTAACGACTCGACCGGTCGTTTTAAGCTCCAGCGCGTCATTCGGCAGTTTGAGGTCATAAGCAGCTTCACTTCAGGTATTATGACTTGTACGCGTGGTCGGAATTGAATTTCGGGAAGTTTGGAATTGATTTGGAAAGAAAATTCTCATTTTGAAAGCTTTAAGTTGGATAAATAGACTAAGATTGGATTTTGAGTAAACGGCCTCGGAATCAGGATCTGAAGGTTCCAACAGGTTCGTATGATGATTTTGAACTTGGGCGTATGTCCGGATCGGGTTTTGGATGACCCGAGAGCGTTTCGGTGCCTATTACGTAAGTTAACATTTTGGAAGAATTTCATACGTTTGGGTTGAAGTGCATTTCAGTGTTATCGATGTCCGTTTGGGATTCCGAGTCTGGGAATAGCTCCGTATGGTGATTCTGATATTGGGAGCGTGATCAGAAGTGGATTTGGAGGTCCGTAGGTCATTTTGGAGTCATTTGGTGAAAGTTAGAAATTTGAAGGTTTTTGAGAAGTTTGACCAGAAGTGGACTTCTTGATATCGGGGTCGGATACCGATTCCAGAAGTTGGAGTAAGTCCGTAATGTCGAATATGACTTGTGTGCAAAATTTGAAGTCAATCGGAGGTGATTGATAGGTTTCGGAATCGAATGAAAAAGTTTGGAGTTCTAAAGTTCATCAAGTTTGAAATGGAGTGTGATTTGTGATATTAGCGTTGTTTGATGTGATTTGAGGCCTCGAGTAGATCTGCATTATGTTATGGGACTGGTTGAAGTGATTGGACGGGGTCCCGGGGGCATCGGGTGGATTCCGGATGGTGAACGGATCAATTTTGGAATTTGAAGAAGAAGTAAAACAGCTGCCTTCTGGTGTAACCGAACCTGCGAGGCTTGGGCCGCAGGTGTGGAGCTGCAGAAGCGGCCATGAGGGACGCAGATGCGGTGTTGGGCTAGAAGTGAAGAGACCGCAGATGCGGTCATATATCCGCAGAAGCGAGACCGCACCTGCGGTGGGTGAGGCGCAGAAGCGGAAAGGGCAGCCTGGTGAGAAACCGCAGGAGCGGTAGTGGGGCCGCACCTACGGAACCGCAGAAGTGGTCAAGTGACCGCAGGTACGGAAATGCTGGAGGTAGTGAGGTTCTTGAAATCGGGGGTTTGGCCCATTTTCTTCCATTCACTCTTGTTTGGACGATTTTTGGAGAGCTTCAAGTGGGAGTTTTCATCACCAATGACAAGGTAAGTTCTCCCCACCTATCTTGAGTTAAATACATTGATTATGTTTGGACTTTAGCATGAAAATTGGTAGAAATTTGGGAGTTTGAGGAAAACCTAGAAAGTATGTATTCTTGGATTTTGATCATGATTTTGGACATGAAATTGAGAGTAAATTATATATTTGAGTTCGTGAGGTTATGGTAAACTTTATCTTCGAAAAATTTCGGAATCCGGGCACGTGGGCCCGAGGGTAATTTTTACCGTTTTCAATCGGGGTTAGAAATTATTGTAAATTGGATTATAATGAGTATTCTAGCGTATATTAATGGATTTGCATAATTATTGGCTAGTTTTGGAGTGTCGTGCATCGGTTTGAGTCTTCGGAAGGGAGTGGAATGCCGGTTATGGAACTTCGGAGCGAGGTGAGTCTCCTTTCTAACCTTGTAAGAGGGAATTGTCCCCATAGGTGAATTAATTGGTTATGTGCTTCTATTTGTGAGGGCTACGTACGCACGAGGTCACGAGAGTCTGTGCGTAGCTACTATTATGCTTAAGCCCGGGTAGTCTAGGTCCCAAAAGCATGCTTTACTTGTAATCCTTGAAACCTTGTGGTCAATTTAAAATGCTTAAATCATATCGAACTGGTAAAGAATTTCTAAAGGAATTAAACATCATTTTCTTGACCGTTAAAAAGAAGTTGTCATTTTTTTGTGTAATTGTTTCTCTGATGATTCTTGGTTGACTGTTTGGTATGTTTATTTATATTTGACCGCGTCACATGTATGATTCGCGAGTGGGGTAATAGATGCATCTATGGTTCGCGCCATTCGACCCTCTGGCAGTGCACAGTTTAAATACTATTGGATCGGGCCGTACGACCTCGGCATGACTTGCGCATGTTTGTATTTCTTGACTTGCAAATTTATAAATGAAGATATTGCCTCCCTGACTTGAGATAAATGTATAAATGATGAAAACAAATTTGGAAGTTTCCTATTAATAAAAGAATTGTTTACCTGCTCCATGCTATTGAGTTACCACCGTTTATAATAAAATCCTCGATTTACTATATTATTGGTATATTATTATTGGACCACTAGTAAGTGTCGAAGTCGACCTCTCGTCTTTACTTCTTCGAGATTAGACGGGATACTTACTGGGTACGCGTTGTCTTCGTACTCATGCTACACTTGCTGTGCATTTTTTGTTGCACCGGCATAAGTATGTCTAGTGGCTTAGTTTGGCGCAGCGGCATGGTTGATACGGAGACTTAGGTGAGCTGCACTTCTCGAGACGACCCGCAATCAACAGAGTCTCCTTCAGAGTACTGTATTGTATTTTCTCTACTGTCCAATCTGTATTCCGGACGGTTATTGTATTATATTATTTCCTGGAAATTGCTCGTGCACTTGTGACATCGGGTTCTGGAATAATTATGGGATTATTCAATATTAAGTTTGTTAAAGATATCGTTATTATTTCGGTGAATTTCATTATTTATTATTTAATGTATAGAAGAAATGATTTCAACGAATACAAAAATGGAAATTTAATTAACTTCTTGGTGTTGGCTTGCCGTGTCCGGCGCCATCACGACCTTTAGTGGATTTGGGGTCGTGACATGGGAAATTGATGCCCCAGTGAATAATGCCGCTGGTGGAAGACTGGAGGACAGCTATACTCCAATCCCGTAGACTCGACCTTTATTTATTATTTTCACGAAAAATAAAGAAAAGAAAGTAAAAGATGTAAGAAAACAAACACACAACTTTCAAACTAATACCAAAATAGATAATTACATAGTAATATTTATACATTTATTCATGCCACCAGCCGCCTATGTTCAAATTGCAATCATATTCTCTGGGGCCGGCTGAGTTCCTTCAGGCTGAGTTTGTCGCCATGCATCAAGATCAATGTGATACCTTTCTTGAAATAAAAATAATACACGTTATATAAATAAAATAAACTAAGAGAAAAAAATAATATAGTGCTGGTATTGGGATCATACAAATGTCTCTGAAGTACGCACGCGGTTCGACCCATTATTCCCTTGTGCCGTTCTTTTTCTTCTTATGGGTTTCCGCAAAGACCTCAGCATAAGTCACATCCTCCCGCGTTCCTTTTCCTGAAAATTAAGAAGTAATTATATATTTATATATATATATATATATATATATATATATATATATATATATATATATATATATATATATATATATATATATATATATATATATTCAATTTGCATACTTGTAAAACTAAAAATATTTTATAATAAAATTACCAATCTCAAACGATGGGCTGCAAAAGTAATAGAACCTCCAGTATGCAATGCTCCACCCTTAGTAGAAGCTTTGTTTAACTTTGAATGTTCACTCTTCTTCTTCCACTCATGTGTGTTCCATTCGCCAAGAGCTGATTCGAGACATTTTTACGTATCCAATCAGGTCTGGCGCTACCTCTCCTAGTAACATGATGGAATATGTTATCCGCTTCTGTGCTCTCTTTTCAAAGTTCTCATTCATCAAGTGCAGGCTGCCATACACACCTAACCTCCAAAATTGATAAGAGTACTCTTGATTTTTGATGTAACTGTATTAATTTCTTTGGCAGATACGATCTGGTAATTGTTTGGCTATAGACATCAAGATTATTATAACAATGCGACTTAACTCTATATTTGTAGCATTTGGACAATATCTTTGAGTGACAGAGAGGCAACCAGCTCATAGCTGTTTTTATAAACCAATATCACATGCAGTTATAAATCTCATATTCTTTAGGGGTTCAGATGAGCACATGCATGGAGATAAACACAGTATCACACTGTCTTTGCTTTTGAAAAAGTATAATAAATCTATATTCGTTTAATTGTTTTGTTTATTTCTTTTTTCCGTTTAATAGGATGAAGGTGGGAAATTGGGAGAGTGGTAGTGAAAATGTGGAATCATGTTGGCACATGAATGTGCACAACTATTTTTTGCTCCACCTTTTTATGTCTAACGACTAACGAGAAGCTCATGCCACGGGAAACCGACTACGAGCAATTAATATTTGGAAAAAGGAACTTATATGGTATTTACGGTAAGATAGCGAACATGATCTTGTTATTATCATTTATAACTTTTAAGATTAAAATACTATTCCCTTCGTTCCCTTTTACTTATTCAATATTTTAAAAATAAATTTTACTTTTACTTGTCACATTAGCATATCAAGAAAAAATAATTTCTTTTTTCCTGTTATACCTATAGTATTAATTACTGATTTTAAATTATTTTCTTAAATTCATTAAAAATATGCATCAATTAATATCAGTATCATTTCGTTTATTTTTTTCTTAAGAGGTGTGCAAAATTCCTAGTAGACAAATAAAAGTGAACAAAGAGAGTAGTTTACAGCTAATACTCCCATCACGGGCGTAGCTAGGTTATGACAAAAGGTTCAACTGAATTCTTTTGCCAAAAAATGATATTGTAAAAAGAGGGCAACAAACTCCGTTTACTTTCTCTTTTTCAATTTATGTGACAAAATTACTATCCGGGGAGTCGAAGAGGTTCTTCTTTGATCATATTTTTTTTTAAAACTATAAATTATTATGACTTAGAGTCGTTTGGCCATAAAAATAAAATAATTTTTTTCGAATTTTTTACTTTTTCGGGATCAATGTTTGGATATGAAAATTTCAAATTTCACTTGAAGTTGAATTTAGAAGTATTCAAAAATTTTAAAAACTTCAAAAGGTTAGTTTTCAAAATTTTTACTTCAAATAATTCACAAAAATTCAAAAACAACTCCAAATTGCATTCATGTCCAAACACAACTCTAATTTTCAAATATCATTTTTCCTTAAACTTTTTTTTTTTTACTTTTTCCCGAAATTTCATAATTCTTATGTTCAAACGCCCGATTAATAGTGTTTTTTATTTTAAAAATATTTATATCTAAATTCACAGTTAAAACTAAGAACTTTAACTCTTGTACTCTGAGCCTTTCTATATAAAATAAAATGGAAGAAATATTACAGTATTATATAAACATTTTAAATTCCATATACAAAAGGAAAGATATCTACTATAATAACAAAGAGAATTAAGAATTATTTTAGGTCATAAATTTATATATTCTTTGGACGGTGACATTCTAATATTTTTTGAATCGTTTTATATGAATTCTTTGCTACACCACAACTCCCCTCCTTTTTTACATTGTAATTGAGAGGAAGAACTAAAATCAACTTTGTTTGACCAATATGTGTGGATTTCACGTCGTATGACTCCTTAAATACAAGCACATGTGGTCACTCCTCTACCACAAAGTCTTGAGAAAACTGGCTTGACGTGTGTGCCCCTAAGCCCTTAGATAATCAAAGACAGAAATCTTAGCCGTTGGTTCTACCGATTGAGTAAGGAAACAGTATAGTAGATAAAAATTGTTGGAAAAGAGATTAGTATGAGAATGGGATTATTTCTTAAACTTAGCTGTAATAACTCTTAAGTAGATAGAAACAATGTTATTCCCCATAAATCTTCTAAAGTTTAATATTTGTAGAAAACTACGGGAGACTCCTCTAATTATTGGCCAATTTGTTTTCTTATTGTAGTCTTTTACTTTTGTTAGTGTAGCTGTGCTCTGTGCTCATTTTATTGGCTAATGTCTACATCTCAATTTGACGCCTAATGTTAGTTGGCAAGATTTAAGAAGATGGTCGGTGTGCGTTTTAAGCAACTGACCTAATGAAAGCTTCACAATAGTTGAAGATATTGCTATCAAATTTCTTTTCTTTTTAATTTTGTCCCCAGATTAAAAATATATAGTTTTTCTAGGAGTTAGTTATCAAACCTTGGTATCAGCTAAGTCCTTACCAGTAATTATTAAATCAAACAAAATACTGGCAAAGGAATCTGGAAGTTGCTGAGAAAGCTCCACAGTGCAAGTGTAAACATGACAGCACGATATTGAACCAGAAAACGATTTTCCAAAGAATATCTAGTCAAGAAGGGATGGTTAATATTCTTTTTTATTTCATTTACTCATCGGTATTTTAGAAATTTCTAATAGTACTAAGTTTAATCTAGATCTTGATTATATATTACTAGCAGATTAGATCGAATCAATCTCTAATCACAGTAACAATCTTCTCAAGTATGTTGTCGTTCGAATCAGTATAAGAGTGGGTGATTTTTAAAAATAGCCAAATTTACAACTGGTCGTTCAAAAATAGCTCAATTTCAAAAGTAATTGAAATTTAGCCACTTTTTACGTAAAGATAAATCTGAGCGAAAACACTATTCAAAACCCGGAAAATACTCCAGTATATTATGCTGGAGTTCCAGCATAAGTATACTTGAACTCCAACATATTATACTGGAGTTCCAGCACGTATAATGGTCCGGTATAATATACTGGAGTTTGGAGCACCAGTGCTCCAGTCTCCAGTATATTATACTGGAGCCAGCAAAGTATACCGGTCCAGCATAATATGCTGGAGTTCATACACAAGTGCACCGAACTCCAGTATACTATGCTGGACCGGTCTCTATTGCAGCAAAACGGTGGCTATTTTTCATTGACTTGGTAAACGATGGCTATTTTTGATTGACCAGTCCGAAAACTGGCTATACCGTGAAATTTTGGCTATAAGAGCTCGTTTGGATGGGCTTGTTGTAAGTGACTTTTAAGCCAAAAGCCATAAGTTAAGAATTCTAGCTTTTGGTTTTTGGCTTATTTTTGTCATTTTAATTTAAAAACAAGTGTTTAAAAGCGCTTTTTTACTTTATCCAAACACTACAAAATGGCTTAAAAGCTATTTCGGCTTAAAAGTACCTAAAAGAGAAATTTTCATAAAGCACTATCTTTTAGTGGTAATTAGCTATCTATAGATACCACTTGCTATATTACGGATTGTAGATACGTTTTCTGTTGTTATAAGATGTATTAGATGTATTTAAGCTACTGTATTCATGAATATAGTAGCAAAAATAGACGTGAATCAGGGAAGTCCAGCTAATCAGTTGTTGTATTCGAGTGTATTCGACTGTATTCATGGCGTGAAACATGGGATTACAGCTGGACAGATTATTGTATTCGACTGTATTTACGGCGTGAAACGGGAGATTACACTATTTTTTAACGGAAAGTGAATCAATTAACATAATAGACTCCTAATATAACTCAACAAACTCAATCATAACACACAAATTTTGTATTTCCAGTTATAAAAAAGATTCTCAACCGAAAAATACCCCAAAAACATAGCAATCTTCAGAGAAATTACATAATACATCTAAATACATAAATTATATTAATTAAAAAAAACATATGAATACATTCATGGCATATAGCGAGACAGTGATACAATGAAATACATAGAATACAGCGGGATATATTGAAATACAATGAAAAAAAAGACAGTGAATACAATGAAATATATAGAATACACCGAGATACATTGAATTACAATAATAAAAAAAAAGACAATGAATACAATGAAATATATGAGTGCTCATTAAATTAATACCATTGTGGAACGAAGAACTGCTACAGAGCCTATTATATATTCCTATGAGATAGAAATGGAAAATAAAGTGAAAAATTGGAAGTCGTTGGATTTGAAACAAGCTAATCTGAATATGATTCTTTGTGGTGCATTACTAATTGAAGCAAAGAGAGAAATTTGAACTGAATAAACTGGAGTTGCAGGTTTATGGAGCCGCTGATCTCAAGAGTTCCGATGATGGTTATTGAAGGAAACCATGAGATTGAGCCTCAAGTAGCAGGCCTCATATTCCAGTCGTACTTGACAAGATTTGATGTTCCTTCAAAGGAATCTGGCTCTAACAGTAACTCGTGTTTTCAGGAATGGGGGAAGAGAATGACATGTATCAAAGTAGAGAGGGAAAGAAAATAGTGTAACTGAATAGCGTATTTAGTGATTTAGGGTAGGAGGTAACCAAAATTAAATATTTTGCTATAAACATTAAAAGATATCTATAGAATATAATTTTTTTAAATGGTATTTATTTAAAATAAATAAGGTGTTAACTTTTGCTATAGAATATAAAAATTCCTACCTGCTAATTCAAACGAGCTCTAAGTTATAGCCTACAATATTTATGTACTCCTCTCGGTATATTACTCAATGTGATACTTGTGGGGGTTAAATTAAAATTTGCACGGCATACAGATCGGTTTTTTGAAACTTTAAGATACGATTAATCAGAAATCCGAGATGATTATTTGATCTCCCCTGGATTTTGTCGATTCACTCCACTACACAAGTTCCAATTTTATGTAATTTGCATAATAGCCTGTTCGGCCAAAATTATTTTTTGGGCAAAAAATACTTTTTTTCAAAATTAAGGTATTTGGCCAAGTTTTTAGAATGGAAATAAAAATAATTTTGATAAGCAAGAAAGTGTAGTTTCTCTCTAAGTGGCTGAGCCACATGCTCCAAGGGTTGCTGATACTCTTTCACCGAAAAATTATACTGTTTAGATAGTAAAAATTATCTTTTACATATATATACTATGTATTGAATCCCCTTGACTTGTTCATGTATTACTTCTTTAAAATTTGACACCTCCTTTGTAACGACCCCGCCGGTAGTTTTGAGCTCTAACGC